ATAACAGAAGAACCACTATAGAAAGAGTCTAGTAATAAACTAAGTTATGGTCAGATAGCTGCCACTTACACATCTCTGGTAGAAAAAGCAACTCAACAATTCAATCAACTACCAGGAACAGAATACTTCTGAAATGACTCTGCTGCTGCAAATATTTTTCACAGCCTGCAAAATAGTCTACACTGAAACAGGCTCTTGTACACATTTGGAACCATCCAAACTTTAAAGAGATTTTTCTGGTTCACATAAAATAGGATTTCCTGGTTTACATTACAGACTCAGGCAACAATCTACATGCATGACTATACACAGGAAATGACTGACCTGCTATGGTTCATCAGCTCAAATGCAGGGGTGTTCATGTCTCCGCCTAATTAAGGAATATATTCAAGGAGAAACAAGGGAATAGAGAATCTGGCTGCTGAGCGAGAGAGTGGTGGAGACGGAGAGCGAAGAAAAACACAGAGAAGGCAACAGTTCCCTGCCCTGTAGCAAATGAAACCCTTTCAAAATTGACTCTTTATCTATCAAAGTAAGATAGATACTATACGATATCACTGTGGAATCTAAAATATGACACAAATGAACGTATCTACGGAACAGAAACAGACTCACAGACATAGAGAACAGACCTGTGGTTGCCAGGAGGGGAGAGGGGATGAGGGAGAGATGGATTGCGGGTCTAGGGTTAGCAGATGCAAACTATTACACATAGGATGGGAAAAGAGCAAGATCTGACTACATAGCACAGGGAACTATATTCAACATCCTAAGATAAACCATAGTGGAAAAGAATATTTTAAAAACTATATATAACAAGCTCTTTGCTATATAGCAGAAATTAACACAACGCTGTAAATCAACAATACTTCAATTTTTAAAAGATGGGCTCTTAAACCCAGACATTCCTCTAAAGTTCAGAGTCTAGACTCTACACTATGCAGGGAAAGTGTACTGAATTGTCACTGAATGGAAAATACAAGTCCTGTATAGTTCTAGGTTGGGAAAAATCAAATTCCTATATTGAGACAGTGATGGTCCTAAAACATCAGAATGGGAACCGCACTCATGTAATCAAAGCGGTTCTCGTGACCCCTTCTACCCTGATAGCATGGATACTTTGACTCCTTCCTGAAGACTTCTCTGAATGAACTATCATTTATTCCACATCTCTTGGGCATTTGGATGCTCAGTGTATATTTGACTACACTTTGCTTTGCAGGTGTTCTCAAATGGTGAATCTTCCTACCTCAACAACCAGTTTCTCAAGAGGGGGAAAGCTTGATTTCATTCTACAGTCATCCCTTGCTGGCCGCCCCTACCCTTGCCCTAAAATTGCCTAACAAAGTACAAAACTTTGCACACAGAGGTGGACCGTGTACTAGCTTACACTTAGAAATCTACTGTAAAGGAAATCTACCCTAAATTATCTAGGGCCTGTATGAGCTGATTCCTTCTGGCTATTTGATCACTGGACTGCATTTCAGTTTCTCCATGGATTGGACATACAGAATCAAATTTACTGAAGCACACTGCTAAATATCCATTTGTCATATAAACCAATTTCACCAGACAAAAGCCAAGAAAAGCTGTTGTCCAGATAGCCCAGGGAAAAGAAACAATTATCTGGTTTTACCTGAATTACTTAGGGAGTAAGACAGGGCTTACAATGCGATTTCACATTGGGGGTCCTTATTATAAAGTGCTAATGTATCCTCTGAAAGCAGATTTGCTGTGTTCTTATAGAAAAATATTCGGGGAACACCATTTCACCTTCAATGTGGTATTACTCCACTTCTATATAGTAATTACAGTAGGGTGCTATCCCGTTGCTCAAAAAAATAAAGTGAAATGCCCACAGTGACAGCCAGCACAGTGCCAATGTCAAGCTTGAGCTTCACTCTCCACATTCAAGTTCAGCACCTGCCCACCATCTTTCTCTCTCTCTTTTTTTTTTTTTTTTTTTTTTGCTAAAAAGCTTAAAAATGACTATTGAAGTGTAAGACTCCTGGGACATTTCAGAAGTTTTGCACTGTAATTACTGGAGGGTGGAGACAACACCAATTTAATGCATTTCATTTTACTTGGGTTCAGTGACATGCATTTGCAGCTTGGGCAATAGCATATTTAATGCTGATGCCAAAGTTCACAATTGAAAGAAACCTTTGCACTGTGGTTTAGTTCTCTTACCCTTCCATCTCTCCTCTTGATGCATTCATTTCCTTTCTGAACCTAAGGTGCCATCACCAGCTGACAGAAAATTTCAAAATAACAATGGCCAACGCCCGAGGCTAGGCACCCGGACTCACCAGCAGAGAAATGTTTGGGGGATGACTTCTCAGAAACAAGGGCAGAGTCATCAAAGAGGTGATGCAATAACTTCCAACTCATAATGTTTTCTTCTCCTTCGTGTTTTACAGTCTGCCCTCGCTATTTTCCTCTTCTCTGAAAATACAGTAATTTTTAGCAAAGAGCAAGCTTGAGGAGAGAACAGCACGCTCTTACAGGAGCCATCCTTCGTGAACAAAAGTGAGGCTACTCATCAAGAAGACGTGTGCTCGGAGTGGTTTTTTTCAATATAACTGTATCTCCCTTTACATAAAAAGGAATGTGCTCATTGGGGGAATAAAGGTCAACCAAATATTTGTAAAGAGAATCATGTTTTCTCTATTTCTTACATCACTATTGCAGAGCTCACTTAGCATCGTCCTGGTTTAGCAATGGAAAACCTCCCTCTATCTCCAAACCTGACAAGCAGTTCATTAATAAACAAAAACATAAATGAAGTAAGCTGGTAGTGGTGGTTTAGTCACTAAGTCGCGTCCAACTCTTGGGACCCCATGGACTGTAGCCTGCCAGGCTTCTCTGTCCACGGGAATTTCCAGTCAAGAATACTGGAGTGGGTTGTCATTTCCTTCTCCAGAGGATCTTCCCCACCCAAGGATCGAACCCAGATCTCCTGCATTACAAGCAGAATCTTTACCTACTGAGCTACCAGGGAAACCCTCCTCATTAGAATAGTGGTGAGTATCCCTGCCTGTCACGCAGGAGACTAGGGTTCGATTCCCTGACAGGGAGGCAACACGCCCTGAAGTCAGCTAGCTCTACTTTAAAGCAAATGGGTTACAAATCCTTCCTACAATTTCTTTTCTTTGTTTCTTTTTATGATAACATGGAAAACGTACCAAACCAAAGGTAATGGTTTTTTAACCTTTTTAAAAGTAAGGTGCACATGCAGTGGAAGGCATGGGGCCACAGTGCATGTTAGGTTGAAAGATATACATTTGACCTTTGAATAACATGGAGGTTAGGGGCACCAACCCTCCACAGAGTGGAAAATCTGAGTATAATTAATGGTCAGCCCTCCATATCCACAGTCCCACACCCTTGGATTCAACTGACTGAAGAGCATGTCATACTACAGCATTTACTATTGAAAAAAATCCATGTATAAGTGGACCCACACAGTTTAACCTCAGTTGTTAAAGAGTAAACTGTAATTCCTGGTGCAGGATGCGGTCTTGACATGGTTCCAGGTTTCCACACAGAGCTCTCTGGCCACTCTCAAGTGAGACTCCTGTCCTTATGCTAAGGCACTAACTAAGCTAACTACCTTTGATGCTGTTACAAGAATTGAAAGGGTTTGTTTCCCAGGAGTTCTCTGCCTGTCACAAGATTGGGAATTTAATTTGAGATGGTAAAGATGACCTGTAAGAGAGAAACTTTTCAGTGAATCATTACGTGGCTTCATTCACAGCTTTGGGACTAGAATCCCACATATTTTAGTGCCGTCTCCTAAAATATTTCGTATGTGTGGTCACTGACAGCCAGAGAGGAACAAGAAACTTTGCCAATTAAATGAGCAGATTCCCATATCTGATCCCATAGGTGAACAACAAAATAAACTTTAAAATAAATAAACTGGAAAGGCTTGAATTTTAAACTACATCTTCCAGGAGGTCTGGATCAAGGGAAGTGACAGGCCCAAGGTCACAAAGTCATTGACCAGGCATCCGCTCCCGCCTTGGAAACACTGCAGCATCAGAGCACTGCTCCCATTTGCTGGTTGGGATGGGATGTGGCGTCTGATTGATCTCAATTGGAGGAGATATGAGTTCTTCATCCAAAAGACACCAAAATAGGTCAGCAGATATTATATTACTCAAAACAGACCCAGACTCTTAAATCAGTAGACACTAGCTGAGTCAAAGAGGACCGCTGAGTTTTGGAATAAGTCACTTGATACAACGCCTGGCTGACTGGGGGGAATCTAGACGACTTCCCCGGCCAATCAACACAATGAAGAAGTGTAAAAAGAAGTTTCAATATTTTTTTTAATGAAAAATATATGAACAGATCACTGCTAATATTAAAGCTCTGCCACACATATTCTAAAGCATCCTCGATACTGCAGCTTCTCAGAGGAATCTTAACAGCCCAGCCAGTCTTAAACATCAAGACAGACTCAGATGAATTTTTAGTGCCCTGTTTGCAGTTCTCAACCCACTAGCACCTTCCCTTCCCCTAAAGAAAGTCCTGACTCTTTCTGCTGCACTTTTCCAGGTGCAGACTCTGGGTTGCGAGGGGCTGGGGCCCGAGGCCTGCGGAAGCGAGCGCGAGGAAGGAGAGAGCAGACGCCGGCCACGACTAGGAAACCTCCCTCCTAGGAGAGCGTCGGGACTACCCGCTGCAGGGGAGCCCCGCCAGCAGGGCTCCCCGCGCAGGATCGCCCTGCAGGTTCTCCTCATCCAGGCGTGACCGCCCCCGCACAGGGAGGGGAAATGCCCTGTTTTCAGGCTGTCCTAAACCGGACGGTCGGCTCCCGCCCCGAAATCGGGGACGAGGAGAGGGGGCTGCACGCCCTCCCTGCCCCGGGTCCCCGCACCCGTCCTTCTCGCCGCCTCTCTCCTGGCCTCTCCCGCAGAGGTGGTCAGCCCTGCAGAGCTCCCCACCGCCCCCGAGTCGCGGTCCCCGCGCCCCCAGCCGCCCGCCGCGCTCACCTTGGCCCGCGCCCGCGCTGGTGGCGGTGGAGTTCCCGCAGCCCATCGCGCCGCCGGCCGGGGAAGCCACGCTCCGGAGCTGGCAGCCGCAGATCCTGGGGGCGGAGACGAAGACGGAGGGCGGCGCGCCCCGAGCCGGAGGCCGGCGGGGGACTTACGGGTCCGAGGGGCTCGCGGGGACCACCCCCTCTAGCTACCCAGGAGCGCAAGCCTGGGCGTTGCAGGCCTGGGGCCAGCTGGGGCGGAAACTGCCGGGCAATCCTTGCCCCCGCCCCGCCCGGCTCTGGGACCCCGCCGGACCCACCCGTCACCTCGGCAACCGCGGCGCCGGCCAATCTTCAGCCTCCTGAGGGCTCCCCGGCCGGACATTGGTCGTCGTTAAGAGGGGGCGGGAGTTTAAAGTGGGTTTGGGGGTGAGGGCGGGGCTGAGGGGTGTGGCCGGCGCGAGCTGGAGGGTGAGGCAGGGCTGTGGAGGATGCCCACCTGGCGGCCCTTCACATCTTCTTTGCCTTTTCTTCTCTTTCCCCACTTCCCCTCCCGACTTCAGAATGTGTGTTTTGGTGGGAGGGGGCGGGAGACGGGAGGGGGTCGGTGGAGGAAGTGGCGGGGAACACCTGTTTTGAGCAAATGGGCGCTCCCCTCCCCCAAATATATTGTATTTCTATGAACGGAAATCCTTCTGCTTTAACAGAAAGCCAGTACAACTCTGCTCCCCCATCCACACTAGCCAGTAACAGGAACATAAACTCTTCCCTATGATGGTCTTATTAACCTACTAGACTTTAAGTATCTGCTGCACTTTTGAAAAACCTGGATCCAGAACCTTAATGCAAGAGATAAACGGGCCTCAAGCTGAGCAGCTGACATCTGTCCCCTGTGGGCAGATGCTCCAAGATGAAGATAATGACAGGAGCCCAGTCCTGCTTGGATAGAAGAAGACTACATACATATTTCTCATTCTTGAGATCAAGGAGATCCCCTAAACTGCACCTACACAGAAAGGTTCCTCAGAAGTCAGAGAAGAGAGGAGTTGCTGGACTATAATATACTCCATCAACTTCCCAGAACCCTTGCACTGGACTCCATCTTGGCCAAAAGATGCTTGCATACAAGACAGGCAGGGCCCTAAATTATACCAAATATGCATTCAGAGCCAGGCAAAGCAAGGTGATTGACCAGAGGAAACTCACAAGAACTGCCCCAAATAAGTGACCAAAGCTACCGCAAAGGCTTCCATGGTAGCTCAGACAGTAAGGAATCCGCCTGCAATGCAGGAGACCTGGGTTCAATCCCTGGGTCAGGAAGATCCCCTGGAAAAAGGAATGGCAACCCACTCCAGTAGTCTTGCCTGAAGAATCCCATGGACAGAGGAGCCTGGCGGGCTACAGTTCATGGGGTCTCAAAGGGCTAGACACGATTGAGCCACTAAGCATGCCCACAAAGGCGCACGACTCTCTCTGAGCCCACCTGTGTATATCTACCCACGATATACTTTTTTCCTCCTAAAAAAACACTTGTTTTGCCAATTCCAACTTTTTGTTGAAATTCAGAAGAACCAGGACCTAGCCACTGGTCCTCTTGGTCTCGTGACTAAGATTCTGCACTCTCACTGCCTCCACCTGGCTTCAATCTCTGGTCAAAGAACTGAGATCCTATTTCAAGCTATCGCAAGCCCAGGCCACCCCAGATCAACTTGAACACTGATTTAATGACAGAATTGTGAATTTATGTGGCATCTTTCAGCCTAGTAGTTGGGAAAGTATTACTGGAGTCAGGCTTTTGTTCACTCACTAAGTCATGTTCAACTCAACCCCATGGACTGCAGCACACCAGGCTCCTCTGTCCTCCACTATCTCCTAGAGTCAGCTCAAATTCATGTTCTAACCATCTCATCCTCTGTCGCCCTCTTCTGCTTTTGCTCCAATACTTTGGCCACCTGACTCATTGGAAAAGACTCTGATGCTGGCAAGGATTGAAGGCAAAAGAAACCAGACTATCTGAGTTAAAATCCTTGCTCTGCCACTTAGTAGCTGTGTGACTTCAGCAAAATTACTTAACCCACAACTTATCGGTTGTTTTACCAGTAAAACAGCAATAATTATTCAGACACATGTGAAGCACCTAACATAGTAACTGACCCTAAATAAATGACAGGTCTTCTTTTTCTTAAATCTATTATAAGTGAGTGCTAATTCCCTGAATAAGGACATCTGATTTATCAAAATGTCTTCCTGGCTCATAGGACAGACTCAATAAATGTTGTGTGAGATGAATTCAAGCCAGGAATTAAATCTCCATTTTAAATCTATTTAATATTTATAGAGAATCTAACCTGTGCCAAGTCCCTTGTTAAAATTAAGGTCGAGGGTTACAAACATATGGGAGAAAGTTTAACCAGGCAGATAGATTATAAGCAACATAATTACAAAATATCAGGGATGCTAACAGAGGAATACAGGAAACCCAGAGGGTGCTGGGATACTGGTAAAAGACCTTCCTAAAAGCCATACAGTTGTGTTTTGAGGAAACCTTGAACTCGAACCAGGGCCCTAGTGGATGGTTGTACATGATCTTTGGAACAATAGTGAAGACTGGGTAGTCCTATCGTTCAGGTTACAAAAGATACACCATGCCCCCTTTAAAATTAGGTATACTTGGGCTCATGCTGAGATGATAATAAACTCTTGAGCAAATGGTGCATTTTTGAGTTGTTTGGCATTTAGAAGCACTGCTCTTCTAACTTGGCCTGCACCATCTTGATTCAGTGGTTACTTCCATACAAATACAGAACTGATGAGGAAGAAAGGTGGGAGATTATCAAATAGCCAAAAGAAACACTTTTACTGATTTCTTCACCATATGATGCTGGAGCCCTAGAACACTCATCAGAAAGAGGAAAACAGACCCTGACATCCAGTAAATGATCTGACATTCACGGCTAGGTCTTCACATCCTCTGATTAAAGACAGTTGCATAGAAACCAATATCAGTGATGCCTGCTCGATAACTATGAGGAAGTAAGACCAAAAAGACCACTCAGTAATCTTGTCTAAATATAACAAAAACAAATTCACTGGCAAACCACAAAAACACCACCCAAATCTGACTAATACAAATGACTGTTACTTTTTGTTAAATTATTATTACCAGTTATAGTTTTAGCACCATTCTAGTCTTCTTGCCTTGTAGGTGACATTCATTAAGAATATCCCATCATAGACTTGTCCATACTTCCTGACAATATCCAATCCAGGAAAAAATCCTGCATCCTTAAACCCCAACCAAAATCCCCTAACTTGAACCCAGATCTTTTAAATCTTTTTCTAACACTCTGTTCCGCATGATGTGCATTCTCTGTCACTGTGATGAATGATAAACTCAACTTGTTTAACTGCCAGGATGTTCCTAGTGGTCTTTGGCTGGAGGACATTGGCCCTTGTTAATCATATGTGCTCTGCCTTATAAGGTTATAAGGTTATTCTTTCAGCAAACACTATTGAGTGTCTCATTAGTGCCAGCTACTCTTCTAAATGCTTGAGATACAACAGTGAACAAGATACAGAGGAAAAAATCTAATTAAAGGAAGCAGATCAAAATCAAATAAAAGGTAATTTCAGATGCTCTGAGTGCAGTGGGGAAAAATCAAGCAGGAAACTGAAATAGATGCCTGAGGGGAGGGCTGTGGTAGGTGCATGGTTGAGGAAGGCCCCTCGTTGTTGTGGTTGTCATCTAGTAGCTCAACCATGTCTGACTCTTTTCCAGCCCCATGGACTGTAGCCTGCCAGGCTCCTCTGTCAATGATTTCCCAGGAAAGACTGCTGGAGCGGGGTTGCCATTTCCTTCTCTAGGGGATCTTCCCAACCCAGGGATCGAACCCACATCTTCTGCATTGGCAGGTGGATTCTTTAGCACTGAGCTACCAGGGAAGCCCAAAGCCCTCTGAAGAAAGGCTATTTTAGCTGAGGTCTGATTGATGAGAAGAAATCAGATGTGTGAGGATAAAGGAAAGAACATCCCAGGCAGAGGGAATGAGATGTGCAAGAGTCCTGGGGCAAGAACAAGCTGGCATGCCTCATAAACAACGACGACGAAAGGCCAGGACAGCTAAGCTAGAGCTGAGATGGAGGTAGTCAGCTGAAGAGGTAGGCCACATCACACTGGGTAGGCGGGCTTAGGAAGAAGTTATGATTTCATTCGAAGGGCAATGGAAAATCGCTTGGTGATACAATACATGAAAATTTCCTAACAAAATATCAGGCATACAGTAAGTGCCCCATAAAAGTCAGTCCTCTCCCTAACGTGAAGTGAAAGAGTAAGTCTAGTGTCTCCTTTATCCTTTTTAGGAATTTATTTTATTTCTTGGACAATGGCTAACCACATTTGGATATTTTCAAAAAGCAATGAGTCAAAAGAAAATCATTAATGCATGCCTCATTTCCTGACTGGTCAATTTTAGCTTCTTTCTCTGTGCCAGTTTTAAATCACACCATTTAGCTGTTGTTTTCATTCTTTAAACAAGAACTGATGTGGTGAGAAGAAGAGAAAAAAGGTGTGTGACTGAAATGGATCTGACAAGAAAGAGAAAACAAGGCGAAGACAGGGCTCAGTCAGCCTCAGTTTTCATGATTTGTCGTCCATAAAGAGTTGGACACCTGAGTTTCCTTTATTTTTGCTTTCTTTCTTTTTTCCTATTGACCAACTGCAAGATGGCCGCCTCAGCTCTGAGTAGCTCAGGCACACACAGAAATACTTGGCAACAAAGAGGGGCTTTGTCGTACCACCCCCCCCCCTCAGCAAAGAGCGCTTTCCCCTCTTTGCATCCCTTTTTAAAGCCAGGAGGTACCCAGAGCACTTTCACTCCCATTTCACTGGCCAGGATCAGTCACACGCCCGTTTCCTGATCCAACCCCTAAGAAGATAAATAGGACATTAATCACTGGCTCTGGTAAGTCACAGTTGGTCCCTGAGTTATGACAGACAGTGCAGGATAGACACCTGAACACAACTGGGCTCTGCTGGAAAAAAAGGGAGGGGTAATTAATAGCT